AAATTTAATACTCCACGAAACTTTCCTAGTACGAAAATTTCCTACTTTTAGTTGAAATTATTTGAAATTCCATAATTAAAGGAATTGAAAATTTTAAGTTTTATATATTAGGAAAATAATTAATGAGCTTAATAGTTGTTAATGAACTTAAATATTAGAAAAATAATGAAATGACTATTTTATCTAACGTAAACTCTATTTTAAAAGGACAAAAAAAAGCGAACGATATTTTGTTAAGAGCCTTCGTGCTTTTAATATAATATAGATTAAAAAGTTGCTCAAAACCTTCGATTGCACAAAGTCAAACAGAGATAAATAGATAACATAATTGCTTACCTTTCTAAATATATAGAAATAAACAATTATGTACAATACAGTACCATAATTTTCCGGTGAATTGTTAAGCCACTGATCATATTCGTAATCAATTCAACATGCGTATGTTGCGTAATAAAATTACTACCACTTCCATTTAAGTTCAGTAATCTGAAAAAAGAAATCATGTGGACCACCCTTTCTTATAACGTCAAAAGATGTTAAGTATAAACAAACAAAACAAAAAATTGAAAAATCGCAAGCTAGATTTGACAATTTACTGCATCTTTTCTTGTTGCGTTGGCGACAAACTTGTGGTGTTTTAGCCACATAAGGTTAGATGTTCCAGAATAGTTGCAAGATAATAGTACTACTAACCTATATACCAAAAGAAAAAAAGTTATCTGAATGGACTTTCAGATTCTGAAATTCTCAACATTTGCTCCTTCAAAAGCTCTGATTTTCAACCCCAGGTTCCAACCGAAAAAAGTAGTCCACATTCATGGCCTGTCCAATACCCAATTCAGAGTTGTAGCAATGGCTGGAGCAGGGTCCGTTCAGAAGTCAGAGGAGGAGTGGCGTGCCATTCTCTCCCCTGAGCAATTCCGGATTCTGAGGCAGAAAGGCACAGAGTATGCTGCTGTATAATCTCCCTTTCTTCTACCTTCTATTGCGTATATTATTTTAATTTATATATGTGATACCAATTAGTTGGGATTAAAACTTAGTTTTTGCTGCAATATTCGGCTCGTTGTTTTGTATAGGAGTCTTTCTTTTCTGGTTAGACATTTGCTTGTCTGTGACATTTAGGGAACTCCAGTTTTGGAGATCTTATAACTTTATTTTAATAGTCAAATTATGTAGTATTGGAGAAATAAGCCTGAATAGAACAAACGATTTCAACTAGTCTGAGATTGAGGCATAGTTGACCGATAATGATTTAAGCTGCTACCTATGCTATCATTGGATTTGTTGTAAACTTTTTTTAGAAAAAAAATTCTGGGTTAGTTTATCTGCTTGGTGGTATTGTTTGTTGACATAATATTGGATTCACTTACTAGGAGAAGTAGTAACTCATGCTTGAAAGAAGAAAAAAGTGGGGAAAGCAAGAACCAATAGAAAAGGAGTAAACTTTTAGACAACAATTAACAAAGCAAGCTAGTTGATGTAGGCACCTACCGTTTAATTAAATGATTGGAATCCCTGATTTTTACTGTAGAATTAATTCACAGGAATCCAGGGACCGGGGAGTATAACAAGTTTTTTGGTGTAGGCACCTACCTGTGTGCTGGTTGTGGAACTCCCCTCTATAGGTCTGCAACAAAATTCAACTCACCCTGTGGCTGGCCTTCTTTTTATGAGGGTCTCCCCGGGGCCATAAATCGCAATGTGAGCTTCTCCTCAATTATATATGCTACTTCCCTATTCTTTTTTTACTTTCTAAATATTTTTAGATCGTTGTACCACAGCTCGTTTTCATTTTGCTCCTTTGATAACTCGAAAGCCTTAACCTCTTTGTTAGAAATGAGTGCTCTATCAACCTCATTTCTAATGCTAGAGTTGCTAAAATTACAAAGCGAAAAGCAAGAGTGCAAGAACTTTTCCTGTTTCCCTCTCCATTGCTTAATATCTCTCTTCATTAATGATTTTATTATCGGGCTCTTAGCATTTTTGAGTTGATTGCATGATTTTCAGCCCGACCCAGATGGGATGAGGATGGAGATAACTTGTGCTGCTTGTGGGGGTCATCTTGGTCATGTTTTTAAAGGTGAAGGGTTTCGTACCCCAACAAATGAGCGCCATTGTGTCAATAGTATATCCCTCAAGTTCAAACCACCAAATTCTTAAATCTTTTCTCTTGCACTTGTCTCGCAAAGATTGATGCTTTATTTTCTGCTAATGACAGTATTATATTTGGATACAAAAAACTCACCACCACTCTTTAATGTAGCGTCAAAGAACAACAATAATTTAGAACTTCTACTAGTTCAAGTAGTACAGTAATTTTCACAGAACTTAGGTGTTTGATTTACTAATATATTTCTTGGCATAAAAAACAACTCGGTATCAAAGTCAAGTACTTTATTTCTCTAACAATTGGCACTGCATTTATAAATCTATCTATATCTATACTATATTAAAAGCACGAAAGCCCTTAGCGAAATGTCGTTTGTCTTTTTTCCCCTTTAAAAATTAGTTTCACATTAGACAAAATAGTCATTTAATTATTTCTCTTATTTTAGAATTTTAGATCAACTAAAATTTCCCCTATTAAATCTTCCCTTATATGATAGATTTTACGAACTATATTAGGAATTTAAAATTAAATAGGATTTTACTTCTATAAATCCTAACAAATTAGTATAAAGAATAGTTGTAAAAGTTTCTCAAAGATCGGAGGCTTAATATGTGTTCTCAAATATTGATGTTGACAATATTGTTTGGTGTTTCTCCCGAAGATGAGATCTAAGAGGAGGATTGGTAGCTATAGTTTGGCAATAAGCACTTTGAATAAATCTTATGATGAATAGAGTACTTAGTAGGGTTTCGCAAAGGGGTTTATGCCGAGTATTCTATCCCAGGGTGTGGTAACTATGATTTTGATGGACATCACTCAAGGATTAGTAAAGAATGTTTGATAATATATAATATGCACATACTACACATCTCAATATAGTTTTATTTTATTTTATTCTTTTTGTATTAGATATTTGTTTATTGTTCACATAGGTTGAGGACATGGTAGCTAAATATATGTGCAATTGATTATCTTCTTATTTTCTCAAAGATTTGGTTGATTTATGCCATAATTTCTCTTGCACCGTCTTGCTGGTTTTTCACTATCTTGCTACATCAAAGCCTTGGCTATTGATATATTACAGAGGTGAAGCCAAAGAAAAGTTAGAGCTTTTCTGGATTTCATAATCTTTATAGATATCTTTCTAAAGTTTGTCACTACTTTTTTTGTTGCAAACGTGTATGTTTTCAAATTAATTTTGTTTGGGTGAGATATTTCGAATTATAAACTAATATTATAATAATTATTTTACAAATTTATCATCCAGAGCATATATTAACCATCATTATACTAATTCACTATGCAACTTGTGCTAAACAGACGATGGATTATACCTAACAATATCTAATACAAATATAAAAAATAGCACCAGGTAAAATAATGAAAGTAAATTAAAGGATATAATTTAAAAGGCATAAATGAGAGAAATTGTAGAAAAGAAAACGAACATAACATAGGAGGAAAAAATAGTTAAAGATTCTTAGATGAAGGGGAATATGTTTAGGGTCAAAATGATGATAACATTACAATTTATAGAATAGCATTGAAAAGTTGTTTGTTTTTGCTCTGGTTCCAAATTAAAAACAAAGATTGGGTTATCTTTGTATTATTACTAAAATACGCTATGCAAGCATCTATTTATCTATACTCTATATATCTATACTATATTAAAAGTATGAAAACCCTTAGTGAAATATCGTTCGTCTTTTTTGCCCTTTAAAAATATGACTTCACACTAGACAATATAGTCATTTACTTATTTTTCTAATTTTTAGGATTTGGTAATCAAATAAAATTTGTCTTATTAAATCATTAATAATTTGATTTTCATTCGTCTACTACTATTGCATGTAGGATATTCAATTTATTATATTCATTATTTTCCTTATCAAATTTTACGTCGTCAAGAATTTCGTCCAACTCATTATCACGTAAACTAGGTTTATGTTGGAACAATTTCTTAAAACCTCTTTGCTTGTAGGATTATGTTAGAAACAGATTCTTAAAACTTCTTTGCCTATCTAAAAAAACATACAATAATTTTGCAACATAAAGATGTTAGTCTTAAGATATAAAGGCTAAATATAGTTAAGATTTGCTATGACTTGATGATCACAAAAAATGGAGTAATAAGAGAAAGAACAAGAGAAAACATGCTAATTAATCTCATGGTTATTAGTTTACCTATTTCACCATTCACGAGCCAATTTTTTTAAACCAACAAGTACATAAAATAATAACATTATATATATTGATCATTTTACTATTTAAAAATAGAATATGGCTGAATAAAATAATAATTACTAAATACTTGAAATTTGGTATGAGCTAGCGTTAACTATTCGAATAAACAAGAAAAAAAAGGTATTTTCTAATGTGAGAATAAATAATTTAAATTTTGAATTAATTAATTAATTAGTAAAATAATATAAGTCAATACTTTTATTAATTCATCATATATATAAAATTATTTTTCAAATTTACATAATAGGCTACATAAATTGTGCCCTTAAAGTGTAATATGAAGAGCTAAATTATTTAAATTGCTATTCATGTCATTTAACTAAATCAATATTCTTCACTTACCTAACACTTTTTTTAAGCTTTCCTTCTTTTTTTTAACTCAAATGTAAATTTTTAAGAAAATATCTATGATTTAAAAAAAGTTTATACTCATTGTTACTAGTACTTATAGATATACTGGAACCCTACATGCATCAAAGAAATTTATAAAGACAGTAAGAGAAGTAAAAATCCTGCACCAGCTAGAAATCACTGGCGCAAGTATATGACTTGCACCCGAAAATGAGGGGGGAAATGCAAAGGTAATGATGGCTTACCCTGATATCCCAATGTGGAGTAAAGAGATGTTTGCTGCTTTCAGCCTTCAGTATGGAGTCAAAAGCCGTTCCTTACCTTTCTTCTTACGTGAACCAACATAGATGTGCGGTGTATGAGCTACTTTTCGCCATTCCTTACCTTTCTTCTTGCAAAGCCGTTCAAGATGAGGGCAGTCTTGAATTGATAAATGCTGAAGAGTATTGAGGTGTTTTAATCCTTCTGGCAACGACATCAAATGTGTGCAATTTGAAATTGCTAAAGATCTAAGAGAAGAAAGTTTAGCAAGCCAGTCAGGAAGATCTGCAAGATCAGGACTGCTATGGATTACCAGACTTTCCAACGTAGTGACATGTTGAAGGCTAAGTGGTAATGGGCGTAATTCAGGGCAGGATATAATATTCAAGCCCCGTAGAAACGAGAGATTCTGGAAACTATCTGTAGATAAAGTTAATAACCGAGGGCAACCATTACGATGAGAGCTGTTCTAAGACTGTTAGATGGAGGAACCCACTTGTTAGAGAAATCAGGTTGCTGCAATTCTCAATGGACAAGCTCTTTAGGGAGTTGAATCCTGCAATTTCTTCTGTCGGCAATGACTAAGCAGTGCACCCGTTGTTATCAAGGTACTCCAAAGCTTTCAGCTTTCGAATTCCAACTGGCAAATGGGTTAGTTTTTCGCAGTAGCTAATGATCAGTGACTTCAGATCCATGAGATGCTCTATTTCTGAAGGAAGAGAAACGAGAGACTTTTGCATGAAAGTATTTCCAGAGTCTCCAGAGGTTTATTATTCTCCAGAAGTTTCACTGGAAGATGCACTAAACCTCGGAGTGCATCAATTACAAGATGGGAGAGTGAAGACATATTATCCAGGCTCCAAGATCTTAGCTAGGGTGGCAATCACGGAGCTCCAGATAAAGAAGAGATTGAAATGTTGGAGCAGTGATGAGGTTAGGACATTTAGCTACAACTAACTTTTGCAGGCGAGGAAATGCTGCTCCATTGTCTGTGCAAGACCATAAAGAAGGGGAGATCCCTGATTGTTAGTTTTTCCAGAGATGGTAATTTCAGGGTTTCAACTCCATAAAACTCTTCGCTGATATGTGTAACTCCATCCATCCCTTGTAGACAAAGTGTTTTGAGAAACGGAAGCTTCCCAAGGGTAGATAAAGTATCACATCCTCTACAATTTATCAAAACAATCAGAACTAGATTAGGGAGGTCCCAATCTGGAAATTTGAATCCAGGATATCCCTTGATATATAGTTTTTTGAGGTTTACATGTGGATGAAGACACTCAAGGATACACTCCACGACAATGTCATTATCACTTTGTAATGATCTTGATGTACCATCAACTTCTCTGCAAACCTCATATGACGTAGATCCTGTTGCCAGCTTCACTATCTTCTCTTCGTTCCCTCTTCCCCATTGGAGACTTAACAACTCAACATATTTCTTCGCTCTTAGATTAGCCAGTGTAGCTTCTTCTTTGTCTCTGATGTTCTCCAGGCACCTTATACTCAATTCACCTCTTAAGTTTAGACAAATGATTTCACTGATGCTTTCTCCAATCTCTTTGCCCACAATGTATAAAGGCAAAGTTTGAAGCTGAAAATTCCCCAGACCAGCAGGGAGGCGAGTCAGACTTTCACATCCCACTATGTTAAGGTGCCTTAAGCCAGTTATATTAGCCAAGCCAAAAGGTAACTCCAGTAGATTACCACAAGATGAAAGGTTCAGGGTTTGCATATTACAAAGGTTGCAGATAGCATGAGGGAGTGATTGAATAGAAGTGTTTGAGAGATCAAGGTATCTCAAACATATCAAATCACTATTCAACTCATGCACCTTTTTCACACATCCACTTAAATCCAGGACTCGCAAGTATTGGAAGTTCAGTGGAAAAGAAGAAGGGACGTCTCGGGTGCAAAACAAGAATAGGAGTGTGCGCAGATCTTTGGCACCATACAATTCCTTTGGAAGTGAAGCAGGATCTGAATGACAAAGGATTGACAGGTGATAAGCCCGTGCCATGCTACCTTGGGCAACGTCATGTCCCAACATCTTGAAGTCTTTACTCCCAATGCTTTGAGCAAGATCACGGATGAGATCGTGCATCTTGTATATTGCTATGTCAATCTCATCAAATTTTTTGACTTTTTGGAAGAATGATAAGCACAACAAGTCATTGAAATACTTATTGCCCTATATCCTCCAACTGTCTGTTTCTCTCATGGCATGTTATCAAGCCTTCAGAAATCCATGTGTGGATTATCTTTTCCTTCTGAATTTCATAATTTTTAGGATACAATGAACAGAATGCAAAACATTGCTTGAGGTATAGTGGAAAATGTAAGTAGCTCAACCTTAGAGCTGGCAGTATGCCATTGTCACATTCCTTAAGACCCCAAAGCTCACTCTCTTGCACAAACAACCAATCGCTTTCTTCTCTTTTGAAGCTCAACAAAGTTCCCAATGTTTTTGCTGCCAAAGGTACACCTCCACATTTCTTGATTATCTGTTTTCCAATCTCCAACAGATTAGGATGCTCAACTCCTTCCTCGCTGAAAGCTCATTGCTTGAACAAAACCGAACAATCATCTTCACTCAAGCATTGGAGACAATAGGGCGAAGTAGTTCCCACTATTGATTTGACGCGACCATTGGTACTCCATGTAGTGACAATGACTCTACTTCCTTCTGCTGCACTTTGCAATAAGTCACTCATCTTATCAGAGGTAGATCTAGGATTTGAACTCAACCTCCAAAATTCTTAACATTGAACCCATTATATTTTAAAAGTTATGGGTTCATACTTCATACCTATTAGTTTTTGTAGTTTTGGTGGATATTTACACATAGATTTATGTTTCGCGTCGAAAGTACTAGGTTCAGTTGAACCCGGCACTCCTACGTTACATCCACCTCTGCAGCTTATCCCACTCTTCTTGGTCTTCATTCCATACATCATCCAAAACAATCAAAAATCTCTTTCCACCCAATGAATCTTGAAATTGAGCTTGAAGTAGATCCATCTCCAAGAATTGGCACTTTCTTTTAGTTGCAGACTGTATGATGCTTGTTATGAGCTTACTTACATCAAAATTGTGAGACACATAAACCCATATTTTTATGTCAAAGAAATGGGTGACCTTTTCATCATTTTAGATTGGTTGAGTTAGAGTAGTTTTGCCAAGCCCTCCACTACCTACAATTGGGATGATAGAAACATCCCCACCAGTTTTGCCATCACATGTGGTCATCATCTAGAAAAGCTCTAGCAGTTGGTAGTGAATTCAGAGATCATAGAACTTCTGCACATATGGGGTGGACTTTTCAAGGATCTCCTTTAAAACAGAAGATAGGACCGAGTCTGCCATATATTGCATTCTCAGGAGGAATTGGAAAGCAGACAAGTAGGTGCGTGATAACGGATATAGAGGGTACTTAGAGAGATTGCTTTGTGACTTAGAAGAGCAAGCAAATTTATAGCAAAACATAAAAGATAGTTTCCTACTAAATTATATCCCTTATTTTCTTGTTACTTAATTACTGGTGATTGATTGCCTACAAAATACAAACTCACAAGATAATTGTGCAAAGACCTCTTCTTTTTTTAAAATTTTTTGTCTAAAATGAATGACCACTATAGTATGTGACAAGTAAATAATCAAGAGACCATCCAAAATAAAAGAAATATTAAAAAAAAAATTGGTAGATTATGCCTAAAGTACATAAGAATAGTGTCGAATGTTCTATCAGGGAGAATAGAGTGATTTAAAATGTTAAATCATGATTCCTTTGAAAAAATTATAGTAAATATTGAAGACCTCTATATAACTTGATTCGTTCATCTCGAATTGCATTCCCCAGATTTATGATACAAGAAACCTAAACTCATTAAAATGTAAAAGAAAGTGAGAAAATAAAAAATAAAAGAGAAAGAAAAGATAATATCATCCGCAGCAACGTTAAAAGAAACATGGAATATCAAGTAAAGCACGGAAAAAAAGTTGTAAGATAAAAACATTCAATATCATGGCACCTAACATAAATTGTAACATCAACGTTGGTTGGCAAAAACGAAAAACTAAAGTAAAAGGAAATGATTGATAATTACCATAATTACATGCATCCCTTTAAACTTCGCACGTTTTGTAAAATAAATATATAAACTTATAGGGTGATCAGATACACTTGAACTCGTCCAAGGTGTAATTTTTAAACACCTCTATATGAAGCAGAGAGGAAGAGGAAAGAAGAGGAGGGGTTGTCTTGGAGAAGTATGATGTTTTAGGGTTTCTTTGACTGAGGGTAATTTTGGTATTATGAAAATTTATAATGGACAAGAAAGTAATTTTATTGGTCAAACTAAAATGGCTTTTAAGCCAAAATCGGAGAAGTTGAGGTCAACCAACTTGTTGCTTTTGGTTTTTTTAAGCAGTTTTATTTTTTTGCCAAACACTCCAGAAAATAAAAAAAGTGCTTAAAAGTTAGTTTAACTAGCTTTTAAGCTCATCCAAACACCCTCTTTGTGCGTGAGGTCCAAACGCCACTTAAATGGCAAATGAACGAATAATATGTTAACACGTGTATTTTCTTTTTCATATAAGCAAATAATAGTCTAAAGCCAAATAATACCTCTCATTTGTTCATCTTCTCTCTCTTCGCTTTCTCAGACCCAACTCCCATCCCATTTCCTATCTAATCTATATCATAGTTCTTTTAATTCTAAAGTTAAATTTCATCCAAACTTCAGCAAAATCAAGAGAAAATCATGTAAAGGTGGAGATTTTATTTTATGATGGGAAATCATCGTCAACTTGTTTGGAGAAGGGAGATAACAAGTTAGAGAGGAAAATATATGGAAGTTTTTATTGTGATTTAAGAGAGATATAGAAGAAAACACATAAAATGACCTTTGAATTTTTTTTGGCTTCAATGGTGTTTTCAGCTATGGAGAAGAGGAATATTAGGGGCTAGGGCTTTTTTTAATTGTTGGGGAAAGTAGTATTGGGTATGAGTTATATAAAGAGGGTTTTTTTTATCGTTAATTTTCTGATTCAACAACTTTAAAATAGCTATCACGCGCTCATCAGTAAGTATAAAATACGTGGTATGCCAAGTTGGACAGAGTTGTTTAAAAGTTACACTATGGACGAGTTCAAGTGTCTATCGAATTATCACATAAGTTTATATGTTTATTTTACAAAACATACCAAGTTTGAGGGGTTATCTAAGATTTTGGCCTATTCAAATAGTGTTAGAAAGACTTCTATTTAAAAATGTGAATAGGCCTCTTTAGCTTTTACATTGACATCCGCTTCGACTTTTGCTATAATTGAATACCAAACCGCATAAAATTCAGTTATTATACCTTCGAAGGAGTAATAAACTTTTAATGAGTACTCTATAAAATTTTGATCAACATTCTAGGTATTCATGTTATGCATGAAAAATATGATGTATTTTACAATGTTGAATACTAACCGCAAAAATTAAAACAAATAAGGAACAAATATAAATATTTCAATTACTCCACTAAAAGAGAAGTTAAATTATTTCTACGGTCAAGGGAGCTAGAGTATGCTTACCAATTCGATGGTACACAATAACTTTGACCGACACCTTGATTTTTCCTGAGAACATATATAAATTATTAATTTAAACACAATAACTTTAAAAAATTAGAATTCCAAATTCATAAATTTCATCGTGATTCAGCCTATACCTACTATGTAGGCTATTGAAATAGCCATAGCACTAGCCACTAGAGATATATATAGAAAAGATGTAGAACAATATATATGACTACACGGAGTTGCTGGAAAGATTCAACTCAATCAGATTTAGCCGTCCAAGGAATACGATAAAAATAGTTTAAAAATCACTAAATATATCAATTGAAAGAAACTTTTAGAAGACACTTTAGCCAGTACAGGTGGAAACAAGATCCAATCATGAGTTTTCCCACTAATAACAAAAAAAAAGGAACTGAAAAAAGAAAAAGTAGTTGTCATATTTCTTATTAAAGCTCTAACTCCTAAATAATTTTAGCTCTGATAGATAAAATGTATAAAATGTTAGCTAAGTTCTAAATAATATAAAAGTCTTGCTATTATTTGTTACTCTAGCAATATATACAAATTGATTGTACTAATATTCAATCAACAAGTTCAAATTAGTTGGGATACAACTGAAATCATCTATCTATCTATCTATCTATATCTATCTATATTATTATAAAAGTACGAATAATTTATGCTAAATGTTGAACGACTAAAATATTGATAAACTTTTATGCCCTTAAATATTTGTATAATTTAAAAATCTAATTGTAATTACATAATGATGGAATTTTTTTTCGATTTAAACTATACATACGACCCTACAAAGTTGATCCTACTTAGATTAGAAAGGCCCGACCATAATTTTCTCTTTCTTTTTTTTACTTACGTCAGATGCCTAGCATATAATGAAATTGCATACATGGAGCTTTAACCTTTTTTGTATTTTGTGATTTGCTTTATTTTCTTGTATGATTTTGTTGTGATCGGATAAAAAATTAGCCAATATGTGCTCAATTAGGGAGGAAAAAACCTAAATAAAAAGCTTAAAGATTTGACTAAACCAACCATAATTAAATTATTCATCTTCAAAGCCTAAAAGCTTACATATAATCAATTATTTAGAATTCAAAGGTCCTTACATGCGGTAAAATTTTATTATACATGTAATTGATGGAGTTTTATACCTTTAAAAAATTAAATTACCCCCTCGAGTAAGTAATAGATGAGTTTTTCATGTACAAGAAACTTACTATATGTATAAGTCTTTCCACGATTTATAATAAAAACAACTAAAGAGACATACTCCCATCTTTATTAGTCTTTCTAAAACCAGCCGTATTGGGTCGAAAACAAAGATAGAATAGATACAAGCACGGTGAACTATACCAAGTAAAGGAGCAAGCGCATGCTTTCTGACATCAATTTGATGAATAGAAGCAAATTGAAATTTATGCAGTTAGATTTCTACCACTTTAATTTTTATGTCATAGTTCAACAAAATATGTTCAGAATATTAATGCGGTAAATATTACTATTCCTTACATAAAGTTTTCACAAAATGATAATAATTCTATAGACGACGTGGCAACGCACGTCTATAGAGACTAGTGTACGTTGTTTGATATACCTCTTTAAACAACTAAAATAACTATCACAACTATATCAAAGCAGAGCAATAGTACTAAATTTATAAGGAAAGCAAAATTGATAATATGGGATAAAGCGTTTATCTCTAAGTGTCAAACAATCGAATAAATTGCCCAAAGTTCTAGAGATATATTGGATATCAATGAACCGTTTGGTGAAAAAAATTGGTTTGGGAGGTGATTTCTGTCAAGTACTACCAATAGTTCTAAAATCGACGAAAGCAGAGACTGTAAAAGCTAACTTGCCAAAATTATACTTACGGCCTCAAATGAAAATGATTCAACTGATAAGAAATATAAAGTAATAACAAATCTAATATTCAGTGGCTTCTTAATTCGTGTCGGAAACAAAGAATAGCATCCAATAAAAGATGATTTAGTTCTAGTAGAACACTTGGTTATCAACCCCAATGGTAATAGTAGTCCATTTAATAAGGGAAATATTTTCATCATTAGATTAAAATAAAATTTGTAAATTGTATGTAGAAATTAAAAAATTATCTTAGCTAGCAGAAATAAATATGTTAATCAACTAAATAAAAGGTTGATAGCAAATTTTATGGTAAAAATAAAATATTTTTTAGTTTTTTACTGAGCCGAAGTTGATACCAATAATTACTACAAAGAAGAATACTTTAATACCAAATGGCCTTTTACCATACAAGTTTATTATCAAGTTTATTATTACTTATGCATGTTTGTGTCACCGTATATATAATAAACTAAGTTAAATTGATATTCCGTTGTATATAGGTTGATATGAAGAAAAAGTATGCCTGACATGCTACTGAAAAATTTAGATCGTTGAATAGCTTATGCAATACCACACATATGGTATATAAAAGTTTTGACAAAAATGCCATACGTGCAAAAATTATGATACTGGTCAATGTGCTTCTAAGTATATTTTTATCCCTAAATTCAACTTTTGTCTTCTGAAACTAAAGAACATCCTTTTAAATTTGCTGTGAAAATAATTTTCAGTATGTTTATGTTTTACAATTATAATATATACCGCACAAGTACAAACATCCTAAACATTGGACTATATTTGCCGTAATAAGTTTTCTTGCACGAACAACTATATGTTGCACTTTCAAGAGGGGTTATGGCAAAGCAACCAAAGCATTAGAAGGAAACATACACACAAAAAACACCGTCTACAAAGAATTGTTCGGTAAATACCATCACATTAAATACTTTTAAACTATAATTTATAATTATCTAACTAACATGACTAAATTGATCATTTGTGTAAGTTCTGATGATATCATTTCATTTAGAACTCACGTATTATGATAATGTAATAATATTTTTCGGCATGTCGGTGATTGTTGTATTATTATACATAAAATTTCTCTCATTAATTATATTTTGGTGTTCCTTCCTATAAATAAATATTTAAACCATCATGTGGCATTATTAAGGTGCAACGCACCTTTATAGATACTAGTTATTATAAAAGTATGAATACAATGTCGGTTTACAAAAATAATCTTATACTATTAAGCATAATAACTCATAATAAAAAAATATAACCGGAATGTTAGATATTAGCCTTATAATCCTATTAGTTTTAGGACATAATACTACACGTTAAGAATCCTACATGATTACCTTTAGGAATCCTATTAGTATAATTATTTTCGACCTGTCTAATTCATATAAAATTGAACAGGTAAATATTTTTAGTCATGTAATCCTGTTACTTTTAGGATATACTTCTTAAAAATTTCTATTACTAATTTAATTTGAAAACGTATTATAATGTCCTATTACTAATTTAATTTGAGAATGTATTATATTGTCCAAATCCATTAAGAAAAAGGAGAGCCTAATTTATTATAAAAGTATAAATACAATATTAATATACCAAAATACCCTAAAATATTAAGCGGAATAACTCATAGGGAAAGGACATAATTGCAATAACATATTTTTGGACTACAATACCTTCTATACTAATTTTTAATATTTAAGATTTTAAAATTAATAAATTTTTGTCTATTAAATTCTTATTAAAAATATGTAGGAATATTTAATAAAATAAATTTCATAAGAATCCTCCGTATTGGCAAAATATTACCACTTCATAATGTCCAATACTAAAAAAAATAAAAGTAATATTAAATGGACTGCATAAATAATTGAAATTGAGAAAAAAATACGCCCTCGATAATATATTTTTATATTATATTTGAACTATTTTCTTACTCAAATAATAATTTTTTAAATAATTTTTTTGTAATATTAAAAAATACCCAATTATTAAACAACAACTAAGAAAATATTTAAGAATATAAATGTGTGAGAAAGAGAAAAAAAATGGTTGGTAAGAGTCAATACCACTAATGATTCTACAAACATAACGATCTAAAAGTGAAATGTCATATCAAACTTTTACTCTTTGAAAACAAAATTTCTGGTGGATAAAATTATAATTAAGATTAAATATTCAAAACAAGAGATGAACTAATATTAAGATCCGAATCAACATAGAATAAATTATTTTTATGTTAAAATTAAATAATTAAATCTTTTAATTAATTAATTAGCAAGAGAATCTAATTCAATTATTTATTAACTTCATCATATGAGTAAATTTAAGTTAAAATTTTTTTTTAGGGTACATAAATTTATTCCATAAAAAGAGCGTTAGAACACAAAGTAAAAAGGTTAGTATATTCTTAAGAATCAAAATGCTATACAAGTATTTAAGGAAGCACAATCAAAGCTAAATCCTAATTAAGAATAAGCTTTCAAGACTATATTATAAAGAGTCGATTGTGGTATAACGAAATTATTATTTGTAGATGTCTCTGGCATAATCGAAATAATATTTCTATGTCATGCATTACTTGCAAATATCATATCAAGAGTCATGACACTGTTAGTAATAATAGCAAGTGGTGTATCAACTACGATTTTACTGTGAGACCACCCATTTTAGATTTGATATACCTCTTCAAACAACTTAAATAACCATCACAAATCTATCAAAATAGAGCAATTGTACTAAATTTATAAGAAAGACAAGATTCATAATATAGATGAAGTACTTATGGCTAAGTGTCAAACGATCGAAATAATTGCCTGGAGTTCTAGAGATATATTGGATATTAATGAACCGATTGGTGGAAAATTAATAGTTTGGGAGGTGATTTCTGTCAAGTACTACCCGTAGTTCCAAAATCGATAGAAAAAGAAGAGCATCCAATAAAATATGAACACTTGGTTATCAATCCCAATGGTAATGGTAATGCATTTAATAAGAGAAATATTTCTATCATTATAATAAAACGCAATTTGTGCAAATCGTAGAATAGAATTAAAAAGATATCTTAGCTCGCAAAAAATAAATATATTAATCAACTAAATAAAAAGGTTGATTGTAAAATTTTATAGTAAAAACAACTTGTTTTTTAATTTTTGACTCAGCAGAAAATGATACCAATAATTACTACCAAAAAGAATACTTTAATACTTTAATACCAAATGACCTTCTACCCTATATGTTTGTTGTCAAGTTTATTATTTCTTACATATGTTAGGGTCACCGTAAAACGTATATATAATAGACTAAGTTAAAATTGATCTTCCATTGTATATAGGTTAATTTTGAAGAAAAATATGCATGTCATGCTACTGAAAAACTTAAATACGCCGAATAGCTTATGTAATAGCACACAAATAGTATATAGAAGTTTTGACAATAACATCATACATGCAAAAATTATGATACTGGTCAATGCGCTTCTAAGTATATTCTTATCCCTGAATTCGACTTTCGTCTTTTGAAATTAAGAAATATTCTTTTAAATTTGTGTGAAAATAATTTTTAGTATGTTTATATTTTGCAAATATAATAAATAAAGCACAAGGACAAATATCCTAAATATAGGACTATATTTACCGCAATATGTTTTCTTGCACGAACAATTGTATGTTGCACTTTCAAGAGGATATCAAGATCAACAACAAGAGTTCTGGTTAAGGCAGAATAACCAAAGCATTAGGAGAAAACATACACAAAAAAATATTGTCCACAAAGAACTGTTCGTTAAGATACTATCACATTAAATACTTTTAAATTATAATACATAATTATCTAACTAACATGACAAAATTGATAATTTGTGTAAGTTTTGATGATGTCCTCTTTTTTTAAATTCATGTATTATGCTAATATAATAATATTTTTCGACATTTTAGATGATTGTTGTATTATTATACATAAAAAAAAATTTATTAATTAAATTTTATTATTCTTTCATATAAATAAATATTTAAATAATCATATATCATTATTAACGTGCAACACACTTTCATACGTACTAGTTCTTCTTGAAAAAAGAAAGGTACTATTTTAGTATCATACGTAGTTCTTTTAATGTAAAAAGAGTGTATCTTAACTTATTACTAGAATTGATTGTGCTTTTGAACGAGTTTGTTACCTGCATTAAACCAAACAAAGAGATTGATTGGTTACGAGATAAGTAGGAATCTGAATTGGACAGGAGAATATCCAGCGAAAGTCTCCTAATTTTTAGTTACCATACATTTGTAAACAACAAACACAAGATTTACCCCAATCCAACTATAAAGTTAAGAAAGACAGCAAAAAGTTAAACTCCATTATTGAGTCCCAATACCCCCAAAAAAGTTTAAAACACATTACGCATACCAAAGAAAGGCTTTGAGAGGGAGGAAGGAAACAGCTTCCTTCCAACCAAACTTCCAGTCAAAGAAATATCTTAAATATATTCTAATATTCTTTTAAATGGAAAAACAAGAACCAGAGCCAAAGCCTTTGGTTGATTCAAATTCAACACCTAAACCTAACACAAATACAAACACATCATTAGCTGCAGAGACAGGCATGGTTATACCTTCAATTCCATCGTCATTACTCCCTCAACCTTCTTGGTTCACTGCCAAAAGGTACTCCTTCTTTCCCAATTTTGCTTTTTTTTTTCTCCTGTAAATTCTATACTTTGACTTCAAGAAAAATTGAATTTTGTATTTTTTATACCAATTGGGTTTAAGAAGTTTGAATTTCAATTCTTCTTCAGTCAGTGAATTGCAATTATTAAGGTCAGGCTAGTTTCTGAAAAGCATTGTCTGCAACGAACTTCTTGATACCGTTATATGATGGCAGTTAGGGTTGAATTAATTTTCTCTTTATTTCCTTCTTCTTTATTTTTATGGAATTATTGAGTTTTGCACGCAAGTTATTCCTCAATTTTTGGTATTAGATATACTATTGTATTTGGTATCTAATTAAAGTAGTCCTAATCCATAATAGTTATAAGGTTGTTCATTATTTTTGCATTTTTGGACATAATTGATATGGTTATTGGATGCTGGAGTGTCAATAAGAATCACATTTGTTATCCGTAGTGCTTTATCCCTGATATGGTAAACCAATCCCCC